GGCTTTTTTATTATTCACCTAAACCTTTCCATCGAAGTTTGAAAAAAGAGAGTTTTTTCATTGTACTCGTTTCGCGGGGCACGGCTCGCATTTGACGGGCGAATTCGTTTTTATTTTAGTGTGTTTTAACTTTTTGTGTAGTTTGTAGAGTTTGTTCATGTTTTTAAAGTTCGGCAGCCAAAGAGGAAACGTTGGCCCGCATAAGGATGCACTCAATTCCGCTTTTCCTGGTTCCCGATTTTTTCAATTGACAATCGATGTTAATATTAGTTCTTGGAATGAATATCGGTAGAATTATTAAGGACCTTCATTGACACATACGATTGCAACAATCTTTTCGTCAATATGGTATACACATATATTATTACTGATGTGACAGCAATTATCGTATTTAGGGACCGAAAAACAACACGTCAGATTGGAAATTGCATCAGTATCAAAAACAACATTAAAGTTTCTGAAAAATCTAATTTTTTTATATTGTATAAAAAGCTTGAAAGCCTTGATTTATTTTTCTTTGCATGCATCGAGAAAAAAATAAAAATCCACGATTTCCTGCACGAATTCAATTTTTCACCAGGAAGTAAGAGTGAAAAAGCGTCGATTACATAAAACTTGGATTATAATAGGGACAAAGGACTCGAGGTGATAAAAAGGAAGCGTGATAGGTGATTTTTTAGCAGTTCATCAAAATAAATTGAAAAAAAGGAGCTGGATATAAACAACATTGGTCCCTACCAAGGAGGCGGCCAGTCGTGGTGCCGGTGAGTGCAAGAGGTGTGTGTTCATTCGTGTGTGTCATTTGAAAAGTGTATTTATATCCCGTATAATTCGAAGGCTCTATACAATCGCTCGATGCTTGTATTTTTTTACTCGTGAGTGGCTGTGTGTCAGTGTGAATGATGTACTTTATCAATTCGCGTGTCGCGTTTTATAGCTCATTTTCCGAAAAAAACCATACACTTATAGTAATTTTTTAAACGAGAATTTTCCCGATCGAAGCCGCTGGCCCTCTTTTCTACAAATCTGCACCCGCCATCTTGCAATTCATTCGCGAGCCTTCATAAATCATTCTTAATTTTGGAATGATCATTTGTTTTTGGTCGTTCATTGATAATGTCAAAAGTGAAATTGAGAAAAGTGAAATAGTTTACATTTGAAGGCGAGCGACGGAATCTCGACAACGCGAACGAGATTTGTTTGTAAAAACTGCATTTTGTCAGATCGAGTCTGTATTATTTTGATAAACTTGCCCGCGCGAGTCGACGCACAAAACAGAAGCTCTGGTCGATAAAAGTATATTATCGTTTGGTTACGCGGGCGAGGGTACGCACTCACCGCCGCGCTTTAGGTATTTACATAGAAAAACTAACCCTATTGCATTATGTACTTGTTTATCTGTCAAACTTCTCATATGCTTTGCGTGAATATCAAGAGGTGTATTTACATACTACTTAATCCGAGGGAAAAACTCTCTGTAACTTAAATACCATTTTTTCGTTTATCCGGGGTTAACGAGCACAAAAATTATTGATGCCACACATTTATTGATGCTCCTGTTAAATAAAAAAATATTTTTCAATAAAAACCGACCAATGATCGCGCTCGTGCATTCATCTCGGGATTCGCTTGAAGCGTCAATTGTTTGTTCTAGAAAACCAATTTTTCGCGACATTTATCCCTCATCTGTAAGAATGATTTGGACTTTGAAAATCAAGCGAGTCCCGTGATGAACAGCACTCGGCGATCGATAAAATGTAGCTTTGACGATGAATCCATTAGCGATCGTTTGATTAAAATTTCGTTCTTCTTTTTAAACATCTCTTTCCCGATAGTAGAAAGGCCTTGGGCGACGCGGCTTTGGTTTTTGAGCTACGCGTTTTCCGCGCTCGACATTGAAAAGAGAAGCTCAACCGTGCTGGCTAAGAAACGATTTCACGTGTAAATTGTTCGAAAGTTACTTTTCTTTGTCTCGGATTTCAGATTCAGAGTAGAAAAAATTCTCTTGTACTTTCGTGTGATCATTGTCGAACATTAGTTGCCTGAAATGGATTTTTTAAATCGTTTTCCGCTCAACAGTTACAACTCCCCTTTCCCGCGTATCGGCTGCTGTTCATTTTTTGTTAGCTAGTTTCACTTTTCAAAATCGATGTTACGGTTTTGTTTCGTCTATCGTCTGGACTCGTCGAAAGGTATCCCCATCGAAAGCGCGAACGACTACGACGTCGAAAGAGCGCGTTCGAGCCATCGATCAAAAGTTCGCTCTCGTTCGATAGATCGCCCGTGGCTCTTTCGGTTTAATCTTCGTTAGAACCTATAATGGACTTGCCTTTGTGCCTTTTTTGCCATCGTTAAGACGCCTATCAGCCGTTTAGTGCTTTTTTTTTCTTCAACAATCCATATCTTCGATTTTTTAGAACTTCGTCTTTTTTTATAATACCCTTTTTTCGAAAGACCCACCCACGTATTTTTTAAATCTCTTCGCTTTTTTCCCCTAATAGTATTGCGAGAACGTAACGGTATATATTGCAAGTAAAAAGTTCGAAACGACGCAAAATTTCATTACGCGTTTACATATTCGGAAATAAAAAAATATTTCGCTTAGTAACGATCACAGGACCTCAGATTATTTCTCAATCACGCCCGTATTTAGCAGAAAAATTTGTTTTATCTTCATGCGCACCATTTCTCTCTTAAAATTCACGTATTCACATTGTTTTATTATTTTATTTTTCTGTTTAAATCCATTCACGCACGCGTTTTTTTCTACTTATTCACATTTACATGCTCACACTCATTAATAATTCTCACTCACTTTTTTATCTTTTTTCGCCTAACTACACTAGTCTCATAGACCCTATATTCAATTATTTATAATATTTATATATATAATATATATAATATTTAGCATTTAGATTTTTTTATCTCTCTCTCTCTCATCGTCTTATCGGATCGCGATGATATTATTTTTACGCATTCTTACAGCTTTGTTTTTATTCGCCTTCACTCTCGTCATATTCTGCAATGTATATATAATATATATAATATAACTTGTTTGTAATAATTATATTTTGTTTGTTCGCTTACAGTCTAATAGTTTTTGTGCTTTAACGAGCACACTTGCGCGCATGTATTCATGTTTTTTTTTGAATTATTTTTGTGATGTGTACGTGTGTGTGCGTGTGTAATACGTATGTATAACTAACGATTCGTGCCGTTATCATCAGTCGCGTGTCATCAATTCTGCACGCAAGTGTAACGACGCGTTCATAAATGTTTTTAAAAATGTGTCGTAGCTTTTTTGCTTTCCATCCTGATCGTATTTATGTACATGTGTACGCGTGCACGTGCGCTCTATACGAAAAAGATCGTGCACGTTACACGCACACCGTATGAGAGAGTGTGCGAGGGGGGATGGTGTTTCATTGAAAGATCGTCAGTCAGTCAAACGTCTTTGTGTCAATTCGAAAATAACGAAAAAACATCCGCTCGTTTGCACGACATCAAATTGTCTGTCCCGCTCGGCTTTACTTCATTACTATGTATACTTATTTAATTGCACGCCGCTCGCGCGCTTTACCATTTCATTTATTGAATTTCAGCGGCGCTTTATATATAAGTATTTTCGTGGTATTTATTTTATTTATCAGCCGATAAAAAGACGCGACGTCGTGCCTCCAGTCGTGAGAAGTCCTGCATCATCTACAATTTGTATCGCACAGACTTATTCAACAACTCTACTTCTAAAAATTACGATTAGGGAAAGATGTGTGTTTGTGTGTATGTGCGTTTAAGGGAGGGAACCTTAAAGTCTGGTAAAGTCCTATACAATGTCTTGTAGCTTTCGAGTTTCTATGTTGAAGCCTCTCCCGCGGAGCACACTGGGTGGCCCGAGACCCATTGCTCCGCGTTTATTTTTTCCTTTGTTGTAACACTGCGTTCGAACCAATAGCGACAGCCCCGTTGCTCTCGACAACCATTGAGGTGAAAATCATCGAGTTTTTAACGCAAGGGAGCTTTGTTGGTCGACCTCTATAACAGTGCTACAATGGCTTCACATTCTCGTTTTCATTACTTTTAGTTAATTATGGCACGTTTAAGGGCAGCCCAAGAATCAACGCGACAACACTGAGAGCAGCTGGGAACTGCTGGCATCGCGTTGATTCGCAAAACGGCACCCCAACAAACGATTCTTAAATGTCTAATTTTCCTCTCACCGGAAAGGTCAGTCGAAACTTACAGCTCTAAACATTAGAATCGCGAGCGATTCCAGCGTTCGACTCGTATACGATTCTTCATATCCTCATCATTCGATCGCTGAAATACTCGCGACTTATAATGCGCAAAACACACGCTGCTTATTATGGACGCGCGCGATCTATACATCACATATTCAGACTTACTTTTAGCGTCATTGTACATTTAATATACGTATACATTGTTCACGCATCCGACGAAAAAAGTGCGCGTGCCTTGTGACCGTTTCGCCGACTGACTCTTCAAGATCCGGCCGATATATTGTCCTTTTTGTCGCGTTGAACTCGAAGTTCTGCACGCTTATGTCGCTTTGTGTGTTTCATTCATTTGTCTGTTTGTTTTGTGTATTAGTTTCCGTTACTAGCTGAGAACAATGAGTGATTGTGTGATTGACCGCTCACTTGGACGCCGCGCATTTTCGAGCAACGAATTTAACCGTTCTCGACGACGTTGCCGCTCATCTCATCGGACTTCCTCTTGATACCACGTTGCTCGTCGTGGATCTGAGGTATGTTTAACTTCACGCCACCTTGTGGCAGCTGTTGTGTTTGCTGCTGCTGCTGCTGCTGCTGCTGCGATTGGTCGTTACTCAACGACATTTGTTGCTGTTGCTGCTGTAACTGTTGTTGCTGCTGCTGCTGCTGCTGCTGCTGCTGCTGTGCGTGAAGACTGTCCATCGAGTTGAGTGACCCGGACGCTGTATTGTCCTGCGTCCAAGGGGTCCACTCGTCTCAGTAGTAACTGAATTTTCATGGTTGCTGATTGTTCTGTTGGTTAACCACGTGCTGGAGGGTAAAGCTCAGGGCCCGCGGGTCCGTGTGCAACCTTAGCGCATGTTCTAACCGCTGCTCTTGAAGTCTCAATGCCTCTCCTGATAAACATCCAGACATCTTTCAATCCATCTACAAGAAACTAATGCCGGATTCTGATCGCTTCGATCAAATTCTTACCCAAGTCTGGAGATAGCGTGTCTTGTTGAGAAAGCTGTTGGTTAGTGTGGTGTCCTGGGATGCCAGTACTACCCCCGCCATTATGCTGTCCCAAATGATGTCTCATGTCATTCGCAGAACTCGCCGCTGCTGCAGCCGCTTGCGACACCTGAACAAATCATTTATTTTGCCAATAGTCACTTTTCTCACAACTAGCAACAAAGACTTGGTAGTATATGGTAACATACAGCGAGCCTAAGTGCGTGCTCGGCCTGCGAGCGTAGCAGCGCCTCGGCCTGCTGTAGCCTAATTGCCTGTTCAGTGCCCGATGACTGAACGCCCTGCTGCTGTCCTGGTCCGCCTGTCGATCCTTGACCTGCCCCACTCATGTCACCATTGTTACCCATTCGCATGGCCGCCGCGAGCGACGCCACTTCAACGGGCGACAGATTTGGCGATACCGAGTTTTGCAGACCTGCCAATCATTTTGCTTTACTATTTTTGTTCGATAACTACAATATTAAACATTCACCTCGCCAAATCAAATCCTAAATAAACAATAATAAATAAATATGAATGACGTGAATATAAATAAAAATAGTTTATAAACAGCCTATCGAGAGAGAGAGAGAGAGAGAGAGAGAGAGAGAGAGAGAGAGAATTGAAAATATTAAACTTCGATGCAGAAAGATGCTTTGGCTTGTTGAAGAGAAAACGAAGCGTAATTGAGCGATCACGATAAGTATTGATAAGTAAGCGAGAGAGAGAGAAATTCAATAATAAATCATCGAACGATCGACATTTCGGTATCATCGCGCTGGTAATTGGAACGGCGCGCGATCTTTCTTACCCCGGCACTCTGCAGCTTTCTTTCTCTTTGTTGCTGTCTCGATAAAAGCCGTTACGCGCGGCCTCTTATAAATACTTATCACTCTCTAGTAATGGCACGAATGACTACTGCTATACTTTCATTATTATTATTATTATTTTCTCTGGCTTGCGCGCGCGCCGAAGAGAAAGATAACAATTGACATATTTTTCATTCAATCATCGCTGTGCAACGCTATTTTCGTCGTGCTTTGATTTTTCGCGAATAGTCAAGACTATTTATCATGTTTTTTGTACCTGCTGATACGGCGGCTGCCATAACGGCCATCCGTTGCTGCTGCGACTGCATCTCGTCGTGGTACTGTTGTGCCGTCGTCTGTTGATTACCAGCTCTCAGCATTTCACTGAGCTTATTGCCACTCGGACCCGGCGACGCCATATTGTTGTTGTTGTTATTGTTATTGTTGTTATTCAATAGACCGGCGCCTGCGTAAAAATCTGTTCTCGTCAGTACAAGCAAGTATCAGTTTCAAATAGTACATGACCAAATGTTCATCTTACAAGCTATCAAACTATAATCTCGGAAAAGAAACTTCGAATGAGTTTCAAGTGGAAGAAAGCAGACTACAATATGTAATTCTGAAAGTGGTGCGTACCAGTTTCGCTGCCGGCCGACGACAGTCTGCCATTGCCGCTGCTACTATCCGAGTGAGCTGATGGCGAAGGACACATCGGTGGTTGCTGAAGATTCTGGGGTCCACCCATTTGACTGCCGAAGACACCCAAGCCGGCTCCTGAACACGAGAGATAACGTTCTTCCCATCGACCACCACAACACAATTCCAAATAAATTTTCTCGCTCAAGTACCATGCCCATACAACTCTAAACTCGACTCCTTTGCTTTTCTTTCTTTTTTTTTTCTGTACTTTTCGCTCTTTTTTGTGTAGTCTCATGATAACTTACCCAGACTCGAGCCAGCGAGGAGCTCGCGTTCCCGCTTCTCCGCTGCCGCTCGACTCAGCACGTATTGCGCTGCGAACTGATGCTTCGGATCCATCCTCATGTGCTCCATGTGCGTTAGCAAACCTGGAGCGATCTCGCGTTAATCGGAATTCGGAGCGTTCATCGTACGACGCCGATCGCTGAAGAACACTCACCAGTCTCGTTCGTGAAAACAGATTGGCATACGGAACATGGCCACATCCTTAGGCTGGTGCTGAGTTGACTGGTCTCCGGATGGCAGGCAAGATGCTTCCTGAGGCTGCCCTCGTTCACGTAGTGCTTGCCGCATACCGGACACGGATGGTTGGCGGTGCGTCTTTTGGCTAAGTAAACCCCGGCAACGGAGGTCGTGCAGTCAGCGGTGGGAACAGTGGGGCGACACAATTGTCAAGGTCAATGCCAAAGCAGGAAAAGCGCATCCCAAACGACAACTCCACCAGTGCTACACCGTCAAAGCTTGCAGAGCGAGCGCGATCCTCTTTGCCGATTGATAGGCGACGGACCCGTGTCGTTCGCGTGCGCTCCCAAGCTTTGTTTGAAATGTGACGTTCGTAACACCCTTCACCCAAATGAGATCTTATGCTAATATTGAACGAGCGCTAGCCCGCAGCGGTCTAAGTATGAATTAGCACGGAGACTATTATTTTCGTTCCGACTTCGGCAATCGACCCGCAGATATCTGTTTTGCAGTTTGCGAATGACAGAAGCTTCCTTTTTAGCGAACCAATGCGTATTTCGAGAAATACAAAGGACCATCCCGACTCTAGCGTGTTTATCAAATTATTAATTTCAATCAGTGATGACGGCAGCTAGCTCGCGGCATAAGCTGTCGATAATTAGATTTGCATCATAATTCAAGCGTTTTCTATATTCGGCACGCCGGAATGAAATATCAACGAATCATTCTTACCCGCGAGAAGTTCTCTCTGCTTGACTCGATTTTATGAAAACGTGCCGATTGAAAGTGCCAACTACCCGAGTTGCTTAATTGTTCAAGGATCCATTATTATTTTACGGTGAGAAAATGCAAAAGATTATACTAATGATTTGATTCCATCCCGCGTGCGCGTTGAGTTGATAAAGCAATTAGACGTCATTCACTCTCGGATAATGCGATGGTAGCATGCATTATTGATTACGATCGATATATGATGGGCACATCTCTTATCTGAAATCTACATGATATCTTTTTTCGTTGAATTTCAAGCTTGTGTCATGATAGGGTTAGTACAGATTCCCTTTTACAATTTTAATATTTTTAAAGTCAGAAAATATTTTAATGCATTATGTGGATAGAATTTAAGAAATATGTACCAAAATTTGCCTGCTTCCCAAAGCAATTTTGGGGACTTAATACATAAATTAAACTTGAAATTTTATCCCATCACCAGATACGTCATTTTCATCTCTTTTTATAAACGCTACCATCACCATTGTTAATTTATTGCTATCATCGTGTACGATAAAAATTTAAAAAATTTTACTACGAAGAAAATAGCATTTTCATTCAAGTTATATTACTAAATTTGAAAGTCATCATAATGTATATTACTGTAAACGTGTCAATTAGGCGTCCAATCACAAAGTATGACTCTCAAAGTGAAGTATGGTCTATATCGAAAACTAGAGCGCAACGATTCTCTTTTAATTTTGGGAAAACTTGGACGACCGTTGCACTCTGTTTGGCTATACTTACTGGCAACACCGGAGGCATTAGGATCCTTATGGGTGATCTTCATGTGTTCCATGAGGGCTTCACCACCGAGACATAGCTTATGGCAGACAGGACAGCTTGTGGCGCTGGGGCCACCGATTAGTGAGTTGTGTTGCTGGAACACGACACGCTGTTGCAGCTCCTTTTTGGTTGGGTCGCGTGTTCAACCACGAAAGGTGTGTTTGTGATAATCATCGCATCCACCAAACACACCAACACACCCCCGAAGAGATAGAGGTAGTAGTAGTAGTAGTAGTAGTAGTAGTAGTAGTAGTAGCAGACACCAGTAGCAGTAGTAGTGTAGTAGCAGAAGATTTTTTTTGCATGTGCGCGATGATGGATTGATGTGTGTCGACGCAAGCGATTTTTTTGTTTGTTTTTTTATACCCCAGGCAGGCGCGAAGATTTTCAAACAACAGAACAAGAACACGATACCAAAGTTAGACCAATATTAAGCTGCCGCCACCATTGTTGGCATCCTACGCCTTGCACATACGGGGGGATGCTGGGACTAGGTGTGTGGGGATTGTAAGATGATTTTCTGACAAAAAATATCGTTCGCGAATTATTTATAATAGTTGAAAAGGATTGTTAAAATATCTATCAATTAGCAGAAATTGTTTGGCTGTACGTGCACTATTTAATCAATGATATATAATTTTTTTCTTTTTTATCAGATTAGATTGTGATTGAAACAGTTTTCATAATCGGCAAGATCAAGACTTTTCTTTGGTGTGATTGCGCAGTATAAAAAAGTTCTTTTACAAAAGATTTTTCGCCGAAAAATATCCTTCATTGATTTAATGACTTTTTATCAGCAAAGACGTGACAGGATACTCCAGGATATGAATAACAGGTAGAAGCAGAAAAGCCAAAAATTAAGACGAATGAAAGCTCAGGGTCAGGATGTCGATCGACTGCAACTTTCTCTTCAAATACCGGCAATGTGTAAGAGCGTGTACACTGAGCGCTCCATTCACAAAGCGCCTCTCACGCAATATCTGAGAGACATTTTCGATAATGACTGCGTGCATAGTTGCGACGCGAATATACATTTTTGATCGACCTCGCATAAAACCCTGTAGTTATGTACTATACAAAGTATACAAGAATGGGACGTGGGATAGTTGAGCAAATATGCGCAAAGCATAGTATCAATGATTGGCTTTTTACCTATATTTCATTATCAATAAATTCACAATTGAAAGTATCGTAGCCTACATCAGACGTCCATTATAAATTTAAACAGAAAAGAATTGTCAATAAATAATTCAACAAAAAAACAAAGAGGAACGTATATTTTGCCGTTTTCATTTTTTGTGTGTATCGTGTATTCGGCATGTTCGTGTTGAAAGTCAAACCAAAAGAAAGAAAAAAAAAAGAAGAAGGAGAAGAGATAACCTAAAAGGTAAAGAAAGAAATCGCAAAAAGAGTGCATATCTGTGAGTGCATAAAGAAGAAACACGAGACGAATTCGCCGAGTGGCGCACAGGTTGGCATTGAGAAAAGATGTAGGGGCCCTCGCGTACGTGTCCGTGTAACTTTTTAACATTCGCGTGTGCGCTCCTCTCTCAGCCTCCTCTGGCTCTTTTTCTTTTTTTCCTTCTTCACATTGTCGATGCATTCAAGGCCGCGCGAGCGCGGAAAAACGACCTTGCCGAGAGCGCGCGCTGCGCAGTACTGGCCGAAAGTACGGTTTACTTTTTTTTTCTCTCTTCTCCTCCACCTCGCAAGACCCGAGCGATACGCTCGGGTTTAAAAGTAGAAAGGAATTCTTTGAGGCGAAGTTCCGTCTGGTTGCTTTTTATAATGCGCGCGTTCGCGGGGTGTAGCACTCGTCCGTGAGTTTTCGTTGGGAATTAATTTTAATGGGCTCGCTTCTTTCCTCTTCATTCTTTTGCTTGCGAGTCGAGTTTTAGTTTTTTCGCAATTTCGCAATTTCGCAATTTCGCAACCTTCCTTGACAATCCCACATGTCAGTCACTCGCGTCGGATTTTTTTTTTCCATTGGAAAAGTCGAAGAGTATTTTCTCAAAGCGGAAGAAATCCCGAAGTCTCGATTAATCCTTCAAAGAGGAACTTGTTTCTCCAATCGCAAAAATTGAAGTTACAGGAGTAGCAGAAGTCGTGTAGGCGAAGGCGCACTGCGAAAGGTGTCGCGCGCGAGAAAAGCGGATTAAGAAGTGCACGACACTCGGGCTTCCACTGTGCGCGCAAAAGGGCGTCGCCGCTGTCTAAAAATAAGAATCCCTCTCCGCGGCAATGACCCGAAAGTTTCGTCGCTTCTTTTTTCCTTTCTCCGCTTTGCTTTCTTTCGATGCCGGACCTAGGGTAAAGCTGCCGCGACTGCATGTGCTCTCATTCTCCGCTGCTGGCGGCGCATGTAAGTTATTCTCGGAGAAGCTTGGTGTGTCCGGCGGAAAGGTTCGACGCCCCGACCTGGCCCAAGTGGAAAAAACCGGTTTCTTCCTTGCGCGAGCAGGCGAGCGCGCGGGCGCGCTCTTTTCTTATATCCTTTTTTGCCAACCGCTCTTTCTCCTCTCCTTGCTCCTTTAAGGATGCTCTCGCTAGAGAGAGAGAGAGAGAGAGTTCTCTGGGCATGAGACGCATGGGCGAATTCATCGCGGACGCGCGATTCCTTATATGCCCAATTGCGACTGGCGCGCTCAAGGGGCAGGATTCTCCAACTCGTTATCGCGCGAATAACGAGCGTCTTCGTTGTTTGTTGCATGTATGCTCGAGAGAGAGAGAGAGAGAGAGAGAGAGAGAGAGACTAAACATCCCTGAATACACTAGCCTATATTTACGCCTTTCTTACTTTCTACATCTTGCCGCGACGACTGATTTAGAATCGCCGTGAGGGCAAAATATTCTGCGCGAGCAGCGATCGAAGCTTAGGGGCATTAATTTGATTTCGATTTGATGAAATAATAATAGCTCCCGGTTGAAGTCGAATTGTGATCTTTGGGCGAGAGACCGAGAACGAACGTGCTTCCAAATATACGCAGCTTCCCGCTTCGGCGAATCACCTAACAATCACGAAGATCAATTGCCGAACCCACGTTCGCGATAAATAATACCGGAGACACAAGTCGCAGATGGCCCGAAAAGTTAATCGCCTTGCGATCGCGGACGATCGCGTGACCGGCAGTATGTAACAAGCAAAAAACGAGGGCCTCTCTCTTTCTCCGTCGCGAGAAAAACCCCGTGCTTGCGCACGCACAAAAGCTGCTTCTGCTCGCCGCTGCTTAGGGAGTGGCGTAAAAAGGAAGTGGGTGTGAGCAGCCGTGTAGCGGTGCGTGACGCCGCGCGCACATATTCCGTCCGCGATGTGTGGCCATTTTGCTTTGCTAACCTAGAGTTGGGAAAAGCGACGCGCATCATTGATACGTACGAGTTCGCAGGCTTGGGCGCGTGGGTGTCAAAGACAAGGGCTCGGGCTGCAGCGCGGTCGCACGAATGACCACATTCCCGCTTGCAGAGCATTCGATTGCACGCTCGTTCGCGCGATCGTCCGCGAAAATAAATTCGGCTGAATATTGCCAATCGATGAATCTCGCATAACATCGCGAAAAAACCAGCCTCATTATAAGCGCTCACGGAAAGGTAATGCGAAAAAGACGCGGAAGTGCAGCATATATACATAAAACCGTGTGCAGCATACGCATTGACAAGAGCCGGTATATGTAAGGGGCCGGCGATCCCGTTTCGAGGATTCGTACATAGCAGCGGCAGCGGCAGCGGCAGCAGCAGCAGCACGTGTGTGTATGCATGCATCTATCGTTCGCGCGCGGAGGGTATAACGGGTCCTCTAAGCTGGCTGCTCGTCGAGAAGCCTTTCGTTGCGCGGGAACGAAGCCGAAGCGAGATGAAAGGAGGAGGCAGAGGAGGAGGAGGAGGAGGAGGAGGAGGAGGAGACACGCGGAGAGAGAGAGAGAGAGAGAGAGAGAGAAGTTAATGGTTCGATAAGCGATTTTTTCCCGATTATAATTAACTGGCCGTGTCTGGCCTTTTCTCTCTGGATTTTTTTTGTCTGCGCGATGTTGTGTGTGCGTGAAACGTTATAGCGGTTTTCCAACGGCCACGGCGTACTAGTTGCAATTAGCAAGGACCTTTTTCAGCTCTGAGCTTCCTATACCACCAATTTGAATTGGAGAGCAGCATGCATTGTCGGATTGTGCTTTTCACTCTAATCATTTGACAAGGCTACGCGCCGCGCGTGGATAATTCGTCTCGCGGTAAATTAAGCAATTCTCCGAGTATCGCCGCAAAATGAACAAAGTAAGAGTCCCTTTCGAGCGATAAAAGCGGCCTGCCTTCTTTCAGCCTCTCTCGCGTCCTTAAAAGTCAATTTGCCTGAAAACTCGTCTGAGAGCAGAGTACAGCGAATGAAAAATATAAGAAAGAAGAGACTGGCTTTCTTTTCAGCGGAGGCCTTTTTTCATCTCGAGGCTGCTGCACCGACAGCCGGACAGCCTTCGCGCGGGGCGTTACCGACGCCTCATGTTTTACGATCCTTTTGCCGCGCGCTCGTTTCTATTTCGCGCTTGTCCTTATCGCCAGACGCCTCGAGCTTTTTTCTAAGCATGCCTGGCTCTCTCGATTGGTTTGTTTTTTACGCTAGTCACCAATCGAACGAATTAGCTAGTTACATCGTTAACGGTCATACTTGCCCAAGTGTGTAATTCCCAACAAAAAGTAGACGAATATACTCACTCGGTCTCTCTTTCTCTCTGTCTTTCTTCGCAAGCCTTTCATCGTATTATTAACGTGAGAGCGACCTGTGACTCGACTAATCCCAATTAATGAACTCGCGCCTATACACACGCGTTCGGCAAAAAAAAGGAGTGAGTTTAACGCGCGTAACACAATAACACGTCACGCCTGTCTTCCTACCGCTGAGCGCGTGTACCATGACACCGCTCGGGAAAAAGAGCGAGTGAAAAAAACTGGGTGGGGATGGGGACACGCGAGGCGAGCGCACGAGGGAAAAAAACTGTAGTGGGGTGCTGGGGCGGAGCACCGTCGCGCGCATAGAGAAGAGAGAAAAAAACGCAGCGAGCTACGGGCGGCTGCGCCGCGGCGATCTGCCCTCTTTGTTTTGCAATTTTCGAGGATTACGATTCCATTGAACTCCGTGCGCGTTCGACATTGTGCTCTAAAGTGTTGCACTTTTTTCCTTTTTCTTCCGATGAGAAGGGGTTGGAATGATTCTTACATGGGGGTAGCTTTGTGTACTCGTAATTGCTTTTGGAATGACGGCGCGAGCAAAAAATATGATATTGAATCGAAAAAGAGCTTTGTCACTCTACGATGTGTAGTTAGTTATGATATTTTATGCGCATAGTTTAGCGCGATCACACGGCGAATGACGATGCGCCATCGTATAAAGATTTTTCCGAACGTCTTTTCATGTCGTGGAAATAAATTTTAGAAAGCTCATTTCTTTTTAAGCATATATGTCTGGCGCGCTAACTGTTATTTATCGTTATTCAGATGTTGGCTATAAAAAGTGTACGACAATCTTCAAAAACAAGATTTCCATTCTCTCTGGCGACTCCTCGCAGATGGCAACTTGCTCGAATCCATTCATCAATCCTGCACGACGGATCTCAGTATACAAAAATATATATATCTCGCAGATGCACATATGCAGTTCTATTTTTCAAGCGAAGCTTCATCCAATTCCCATTAGAATTTCCATCTTGTGGCGAATAATTTACGAGCAGCTCGTCACGAGAAAAATAAAGCCCACGAAAGAAGGTATGAATCTTTAATGAAGTTATATGTACGCTTTCCTAGGAGATAGTAGTAGTAGTAGTAGTAGTAGGAGGAGGAGCAAGAGAAAGAGAAAAAAAAAATAAATAAGTCAGAGAGACGTAGAGAGCGCGTGTATATATACGGCGTAGTTCTCATTATAAATACCGCCGCGGGCGAATGCCATTAGCGCGCGCGTAGCGTGATGCGCCCGCGCAAAGAGAGGAACTATCTTCCTGGTGCGCGCGGGAGAGAGAAATTGTATGTGTATAGTGTAATGAACACGGAAAAGCATTATTTTTTTGCCGTCGGTTTTATGCTCTTGCGTGCGACACTGCAAAATTACGACGAGATTTTTTGGTCGGCATCATTCGCGTGCAACTTTAGATTTGTGATTGTTGGATGGTAAAAAAGACACTCTGATGTAAGTTTCATGAAAAAAAACAACAGGATCAAGCCAACCGCTGAGATTGTTTAGTTTAGGAAAAGATTTGTTAATTAACTGCTTGAGTTGATGTTGATATGTATACAAACATGTGTGAATGTAAAGGAGTATGACTTTGACAGACTCACGATGAATGATAGTGAAAGATTTAGATAAAGAAGAAAAGACAGGTGAGTTGGTCAAAGATTGATGCAAAGTTTGAAAAAAAAAACAAAACAAAAGAGAAAAAAACAAAGTTATGCGAAAGTGGAAGTTATGATAAAGATTCAACTCACCCTAATGTCAACTTGATTCGGCAGTAATTGTGAGGCTAGTAGCATTTGGCAATGATTCTAAACAAAATGAAAAACATACGAATCTAAAGTTTCGTTAGTTCATCGCCACACACAAATGCGTGTGGCAATTAATTTTTGAAAAAAAATGTATGTATTATCCGATATCGTCCAATTTTTTAAATTTCCTTTTCATTTTCAAACTTCGTTTTTATTTCAATCGAAAATCAAAGCAAAAACAGTTGTGTCTGTTTGTTTAATTGCAGTTTCGTGTTTTATTGAAATTCACCGTATATCGAGCAGCACCGATGTGTAATTTTTCAAAGAAAGAGAGATTGTGAGAGAGAGAGAGGGAGAGAGAGAGAGAGAGAGAGGGCGGGGGAGAAGTGAACTGGGAACAGCAATAAGTTTAATCCACGCCCGCATTTGATAATTTGATAAACTTTTACGTTGCACATGAATAATAATAAATTCAAACGAGATAGGTCATCGTACTCGATGGGCAATCAAGACGATTAAGCTCGTCATTTTTGTCGCCACACTCCGGGAAAAATAAATCCCAGCCAGCGCGAGCGGCTAACGAGTTTTTACGCGAGAGGGCAATTAAGGGAAAGTGGAGAGGAAAAGGTTGACAACGGGAAGGAGGAGGTCGGTTGGTCGTATCGCGTTGCACGGCGCGCCTCTAGACTATTAACGCGCTCCCCGGACAAGCGAGAGAGAAAAGTTTTGCCGCGCCGAGAATGTAGGTGAGCAGACAGATCTTTGTGGTTTAGTTTTTTTTCCAACTTTTTGAAATTGTCATTGTTGAAGTTTTCTCGTAGATTCTTACGTAAACTTAGAACGCGCGCGTTCCTTCATTGTCAGCAAAGAAGACTTCTTGTTGGAAAAGCCTTTATTGTGCGATAGAAGTTGTGACAACTTTGCGAAAACAATGAGGGCTCTCTTTTTTTATTTTGATCGTGATTAGTTGTTTGTACTCACGTAAATTTATCTTAGCTGCTGTAACATACTCTTCTTCTTTTTAATACAGCACTCGCAGACACGTATTATTATCGCGAGTTGGTAAGACACTATCGCGAATCAAGCGTAATTAAACAAAACTGAAGAAAGTAACAAATAACAACATTGAAAGAAAATACCCTAGAGCTAGATTGCTATCCGCGGAGTTCTTGATTACAGCGTAAACATATTTTTCCGCGCACGGAATAAGAAGAGTTTGCACGCTCGTCTGCTCGCAGCCTAAATTAGGTTATTCCCTTTTATCGTTCGATCTAGAAGGAGAGAGAGATAGAGAGAGAGAGAGAGAGAGAGAGAGAGAGAGAAAGAGAGAGAAAGAGAGTGAGAGAGAAGAAGCCGGAAGGATGCAATTCGGCCCACCGCCGCCGCATATATAGTGTACAAAGTCGAGCGGAAAATCGAGGGAGAGAGTAGAAGGAAAAGCAAAGAAATAAGAGAGGCGGCGATACACACAGCGCGCACAACACGCCGCCAACGCCATTCTATTATAATATTCGATTTCGCCGCAGCGCGTAATGCCTCGTCGACACGCCAACTCTGCCGCACGAATTGCTCTTTTTTTTGTATAGACGCGAGCCATTGGAACAGAAAAAAACTACGAATATTGTACCTGTGGGAGCAGTAGGACAGCCAAATCGATATCCTTTTTAATTGTCATAAGTGGTACGAATTGACGTTTAATCAGACAAATATATTTATTTCGTTGTTTCTTTCAACTACGATATATATTCTAAATCTCGTGTAAATTGAAAATCAGCATTACCAAACACGTAATGTAGCGCTACTTAAAACTCCCTAGCCAGAGTAACATGAATTTCTCTCTAATTTTCCGTGTTCCGCCAAGGCAATACCTGACCATCGGAGAGGAAAAAAGACTAGCAGTTCACGATCTATTAGGCGAAACGAGGAAAACAATTTCCAGAAATCTGCTGCCAGGACGGTGGCAATTCGATTAGAGCCAACAGAGATGGGATGCTATTCTCTTATTTTCCATCTGTTTTTCCCTTTTCCCATTTAGAACGAGCTGCCTAGCGCGTTGTTTTAATTCCGCGAAGAGAGAGCAACTGCAACGCGATACTTTATTCCTGCGGTAATCCGGTGACGACGCTATGGCTCCCTTAAGGGTAAAAGAGAGAAAGAGAGAGAAGAGAAAGTGAGAATGAGAGAGAGAGAGAGAGAGAGAGAGAGAGAGAGAGAGAGAGAAATGGTTAAAGAAACTAATTTTAAAAGCTGTATCCTCGCGAAAATGGACCAGCTAACGAGTCTCTCTTTCTCGAGCATTATGAAGGGAGGAGAGGCTAAATAAGGGATGCGCCAAAGCAAATCTCTTTTTTTTTTCACGTCGGGTTAGCGCGTTCTCGCCAAAATATACGACAGGCCAAGCTTACGAAAGGAAAAAAAAAATTACCGGAGATTGATCTATGAGAACCGGCTCGTTAGGAAGTCAGATTAGCGCTCTTGCTAGATTTATCGATGCCCAAGCGAAAACTGAACGTTGGCCCGGGGATTAGCTTTCAATTAGGAAGCCGCGTGGCTGTCGCGCGTCTGATATTTATCGCCGAATGATTACTGTTTAATGCTAGTTCTATTCGCCCAATATCGTTGCTTCCAAATATAAAAAAAAAATAAAAAAAAAAAGTCTGCAACACGAATCTTTCAAAAATAAGTTATTTCCTGCAAGTGCGTGCGAAAGTAATTCCCGCCGTACGTACGTGTCTTCATGTAACAGCGTTGATTACGGGTTAGCAGCAGCGAAGATGAACGCACACGAATCGTACGTTTCAAAGTGTATACAAGGGACAAGAATCTCTCTCTCTCTCTCTCTCTCTCTCTCTCTCTCTTTCTCTCTCGCAAGGCATCTGGCCCCCTTTTAGCTTCCTCTTCGAGACATGTGCTGGCCAAGGGATCGCGTATATACATACGAAAGAGAGAGAAGCAAGGGTTGAAAACGCATGCGCGACTTTCTGTTGTTGGCTAGTCGATGTAAAAAAAAAAAGAAATGCTCTGGCGACATGCGAGCTAAGCGCTTTTGTTATCCAAAGGGGGTGAATTTGATTAAAAGGTCCTTATTTTCTACACTGTTTTTAGTCATCTTTTCCTCGAGCGCGTTCGATGCTAATAATAGTTTCATACGTGTACCGGTATTTTAGCTCGGTGCTAATCCGCTCAAGTAGGGCATCGCGCGATTCTTCAATATGTGAATGATCTTCTCGTAGGTGCTAGAATTTAATGTAGTTTTTATCTATCTATTTGAGAATGAAACAGCGATTGAAGCTTTTTGCGTGGAATGTACAGAATAAACAAACTATGTGAACATACAGAAAGGACGGACAAGAAAGCAATTTGTTGCTGATATATACCCGTACAACTCTCGTGTGTTTATGATTAAAGCGATAAAACCATCACCATACCGAATTAATTAATAACCAATCCATTTTTGTTATTCGGAGGTAAAATTGAGAAAAAAAGAGAAGTCGAAGACGAAGATATGTGTATTAGGTGTGTATATAAGTAATGTGGGTGTTACCGTTTACCTCGTGATTATATATCGTTAGAAAGAAAATTTTTTTTAATAGCCAGAGGAATGTTATATTTTTTCATGTTGATAATGTAATGTGGCCGGCAAAATAGTTAACGTTATTGTACAGACGGCTTTGAATATTCACAGAAAGATTTATGGAAAGATAAAACAAGATAAAAAAGGAATCATCAAAACGTAATAATAAACATAATTGATAATTTTTTTGTTCCAAAGCCGTCTCAAAAGGTAATAAAAAACAACAAATTAAATGCGTTAATAAAATAATATAAATTTAAAAAAAAAGTAAAATGGACGTCGGATTTGGTACATACATGACTGACCTTCGACGTATGGGTCCTGAGACTGGATTCCGTAGCAAAGCCTTTGCCGCAAATGTTACAATGGAACGGCCGGTTCTTCGCGCGTTCCACCTGCGCATCGTGATTCCTCAGGTGCTGCTGCAGATTTGATAGCTGGATAAAGGCACGGCCGCAGTCGGGTAGGTGGCACTTGTACGGCCGCTCGCCTGTGAAATAAAAGCGTGATTATCTTTGGTTTTAATTGAAAGCCATATTTCGGAATCAATGGAAGAAAGTAATGATTTTGCTATTGTTGTGATCATTGTACATTATTCAACGAACAAGTCATCAGTATTGTATCATCAAAGGACAAACAGGTCAATGAATATGGTTTTGCTTTCAGACAATCTGCAGTTTGTCATCAAATTCCGAACGTGTCGAATAAGTTATCGTAGACGAGAGAGAGAGTAAGAGAGAGTTGAGGCTTGGGCCGAAAATCGATGAGTTCATCTCCGTTGGGTGCCTTGTAAGCGCAAATGATCCTTCATGAGACTTATGATGTCCTTTACTTTCGTTGACATCGAGAGAATCTAATCGTGATATGGTTCCTTGCGTAAAATTCAATTTTAATTTCTGCCTTAGCCAAAATGATTTGTTTACGATGAGTCATGTATGTATTAATCGCGAACGACTACGCTATAAATTACGACAGGATGTACTTTCGAATTAGTTTTCACTATATGCTTCTAATATTCATCGACGCTAGTAGCAATGGAACGGAGCACGAGATTAACTGCGCGCGCGGATGCTGATATAACGCGATAATTGAACTGTTGCACGAGTCGTTGGCGCTCACGCGGCCGTCGATTGATTAGAGATAAATTTTTTATGTTCACCGCAATATCGGCGCACGGCCAACGGTTATTTCTGCAATTAGTGATCTGGTAATGGAGAGGCGCGCGATATCACTTATTGATAGGTCATTTGCGGTTCTAAGTAGTGTCAATAACTGTCGTGCAACACAACGTCGAATAAAAAGAAGCCTCGGTAAGAATCGACTTTGCAGCAAAAATCTGTCGAAAGTCAAAGAAAAGTACTGTAGCCGTCTATCACGAGTCGCAAGTTTAACGTGGCAAGCTTCGAACTTTAAACACACAGAGCAGTTCTTCGTCTTTTTTCCCTCCGCTGCCTCTCTCGTTCATTCCTTCGAACGCAAGCGAGTCCATTGCAATTTCCACGGGCGATTGGCTCAATTTAACTTTTATTAATATCGACATTCTTCGGTGCTTTTTTAGCCGTGGAGAGAGCAAGTGCTAGAGGAAAAGAACACGGGAAAAAAGAGTAAGAGAGAAGATGAAGAAGCGCGCGCGAGATTTCATCTTTTATTCAATCGCCCCGCGGACGATTCATCAGATGAGATATCCGCGCGCGTGCTTTAATAAAAATATCTCGCAGCTCACTGGGCAGCGACCTAATTTCATTTATTTCCGAGTACATGAAAAGAGACAAAGAGAAAGAGAGAGAACACCGATGTATATTTTTTACTATTGACTCTGTTCTTTTGAGAGAAAATTGAATCTCAAAATTTGTTAGTTTTCTTTTATTGTGCGACGAACTTCCCGCCGATGAAGCTCGTTGAATGCTAGTTAATTTGAAATAAAAAGTATGACAGATAGATATGACGTCACATTATACATGTTTGAAAGTGTATTTTCGAAGAATAATACATGTTAAGGTATCATACAATTTTAGCATAAAAAAATTATATGTTTGTCAGATGAAAGAGGTCATTTGCAATTGATTTTTATTTTGCATCCACTAATACCAATTTTTCAAAAAAAAAAAGATATCAATAGCATGGCATCTGCCTAAATAATGCATAAGGTATTTAAACAATAGGCTCTCACGAGAGAAAAGAAAACGTCTACCTCGACAATATAAAACGCATCGAAGAGAAACACAGCGTATTGATTCCAATAATAACCCTTTCGCGCGTCCCGCGGAAACGGGCGTACAGGCGAAAAAGGCAAGGGAATATAAGAAGAATAAGAAGAAGCCACCCGCGAGTGAGAGAGAAAAGGTCAATGCGTGTCGAAGACCCCGTACGTGTGCTCGCAACAATGAGCCTATATAGCGAGGGAGGAGGGCCGGCGGTGGCTCGCCGATACCAATTAAAAGCGCATTATTAATATGGAAAACGCAAATGGAAAAGTATACAGTTGTGGGCGGCTCTCTGTCTTTCTCTCTCTTCTTTTCTTATTATTGCGGCGAGCTATGCGGTATTACGAATAGTAATTGCGCTCTCGCGGGCTTGTGGTCTACAAAAGCCAATGGGAAAAACACGAAGACCTACTACATCTGTACATTATCTACCCTACGTGTGTGAATAATATTAGTTTTACGAAAGGAATAGACAGGCTGAAAGTTAGAAGACATTGCCGTGGGCATCTAAAGAACGAATCTCGTGAAATCGATCTGAGCATAGTTGCAAGGTGTCAAAGTTGAAACGTTTATTATCCCCGTAATAGTAGTACATTCAATATAGGAAAGTTTTCGCGGTCAAATCGGCAACCCAACGGTAAAACCGTTAACACTTAGCATCAGCAATTTTATAGACGTAAAAGCAAGCAAACTATGTGCTTTGGGAAAGAAACACACGCGCGCGCTTCTGGGCCGTCATTCCCCTTTTCTGATCGACTCCACTTAAAGTTCGGCTAATGCAACGCTCTCCCCTATCCTTTCGTGTGTGTGTTTGTGTGTGTGTGTGTGTGTGTGTGGGTGCGTGCGTGTGCGCACGCGTGTGTGTGCGAAAGACACGACCAGGAGCGAGTTCTTTAACGCGCTAGCTAGTGAGTCAAGGCGATGATTGCAAAGGCATTACTGGCACGCGAGTGTTTTGTGGCGTGTGCGGCTTTTACGTTTCGAGTGTGCGCGATTCTTCGCTTCGTGCTTATTTCGCTAGATAATACCTATTGTTTGCTGAACTATTTTGTATAGTTTCAGACGCGCTGAACTTGCCCACAAATCTTCCTCTTGCTATCGAAATTTTTCGAGTCGTTTTGCGAAAGTTCTTTGGATGTCTATCTTAGTTGTTCATTAATTCAAGCGATTTTTTTTTATAGAAATAGGTCGTGACAGAAAGAAAAAATAAAGATTGCAAACGCAATCGATGAAGCTCCCGAGCGACCTAGTTCGTGCCGAAATATAAAAAGCGAGCTTGATTTTGCAACCGAGTCATAAGCGAAAATATTTGTGCTACTTGTCGTTGTTCATCGTTCGCTTGCTGCATCCAAGTTTGAAGAATTCTTCGCATCCCGAGGAATCAAATGAATTCGCTTGCGAGAGAACATAACAGCAATAATTGGCCGGCGGGCACGAGAAGAATTATATTAAATTAAAAATCGTGGATGAGAAAAGATATTAAAACGAGAACGACTCTTTCCCCTCTCCCCCGTCACTTCTTCTTTTTTTCTTTTGCCGTCTCCGAGATAGAAGTTTTCTAATGAATCGCTGCACTCGTGCCACCCCCGTATAATCCTTCTTCTTTTTCCCAACCCTTCGTTGCCGGAATTCTTTTCGATCGCTACTGGCGTCACGGTTATTACGCCAACTCTTCTTTTTTTCTTCTTTTTTACTGGGGTGGTTGTCTTACTCGCGTTGCGGACATGAATTGTGATTGCATGAGAAATAAATTTGACTCTTACACTGATTCATTTGAACTTGAGAATTATGCTTTTACGTGGCCATAACTTTAGCGCTCTCGACGCTGTCTTGCGCTGTTTTGAATATTTTGTCGGTATGCACCTAAAACATTGTACCATTTTTTTTGCTTATTTTACTGAATTATTAAACTGCATTCATTATGTTTTCCCCATTACTAATGCAAGGAAAAACGACCTCGAGCGAACTTCTATTAATCAGCGACGCAGAGCGTTTCACCTAATTAATCAATTGTCCGTTATAGGCGGCATCGAAGCTCTCTCGCTGTCTCTCTCTCGCAATTTTCCACTCTCGACGGCAATCTAGCGTGCTCGGCTTGAACCGATCGATAATCGTTTCCCTACTCTACCTCATCGTCATCATCATCATCATCATCATCATCATCATCATCATCATCGTTGTCGTCATCCTCAAGAACTCGCTTCTTTCTCGCTTTCATTTACTCATATCAAATTGAAAAGCTAGTCTAAAATAGTAGGATAAAAATATATAAAGAATTCGCACGTACGCGCGTATGTTTGCTTCTCTCTCTATCTCGCTCTCTCGCGCTCTCTCTCTCTCTCTCTCTCTCTCTCTCTCTCTCACTCCCACGTCCACGGCAGAAAATTAATGTCCCCTGCAATCCATGTATAATGCATTTGCATTTCGGCCTCTCTCTCACTCTGGACTGTAAAATTTACGCGAAACTCGACTGCATTTAAATGGAGGGGCGTCGTCATCGGGCAGCGGCAGCAGCAAGCTTAACCTCGGCGAGAGGCGGCGGCGTCATCGAAATTCCGAGCCTGAAAATCATTAAACTGCACGCGCACACGTTCTCTCCCTTGTGCTTGCGGCTGCGCTATCGACCCGAACACACAGCACACGACCAGCCCTTTTCATCTCTCTCGCTAGCACGCATACATGCACACATGCACAAGCAGGGCAGCGTCCACCTCTCCGTGTTCCTTGTTTTGCTGGAAACACATGGCCAGAAATATTGCCTTTTTCGACAAAGGGTGTGCTCACTCGTTCTACCAATAAAGCTCTGTTTTTCTGGTTTTTACTTTTGGATAACGACTCTTTGAACTGGAGGCGCATTATGGTGCCGCGTCGCCTCGCCATGTATATCGAAATTACGTGCAATTGCGAAAAGGTGATAGCGTGCCTTATTTCTCTGTTTCATTCGATTCCGACTCGACGATGATGACGATTCGTCGAGTGTGCAGCCGCGCGGAAGCATGCATGGAGATCGGCGGTGGGATAGTGTATTTGGCAAGCGTGTATTTTTGATTGGCGCGAGTACGTACTGGCGATTGATTCCGCGACTTTGTATTCTCAGGGCGGGCAACGTTAATCAGGTGTGCTCTTTGCTCGCTCGCTCGCTCGCTCGGACCCCGTTAATGTTTGAAGAGGCATAAAGCGCCGCCCATGAATTCGCAATGAATCTTGTTCAAATAGTCGAGCGAGAGAATGGGCGACGCGCTGCCACCCACTAGCCAACGTCGCTGCTTCATGCATGCACGACGCG